TTTTTTTTAATCGAGAGCTTTGCTTTTATCTGAACCTGTCGTTTGGTTTTATCCCGGATTGCAGTTGCCTTCTTTTAAGCAGTCTATTAATTTTTTTGCTAGTTTAGTATTAGTTATGTACGGTGCGGTGAGGTACCTCATGATTTCGTACTTATGTGAAGATGTGATGTGCTTTTTCTTGACGTATTTCATGTGCTTTTGCTTGACATATGTTATCAACTCTGGGTAGTTTGACCTTGTGGTGAGATAAGATATGGTAGTCTCTCGTTGGCGCTTTGACGTGTCTTAAACTTGACCATGCTTCATGGATTTACATGTATGCAAGTAAATTAGTCTTGTCATATGTAGTTCAAATTATTCTCTTGAAAGTTTGAAGAGGTCGTTTGATGATTTTTTTGTTATTCTCTATGGATCCAAGATAACATTTTTCCTCCTTGACGGACATCTTTCTTGGTTGTAATGCTGTCTATATGCAGAACTTTGATCTTCTAAATTTGGTTGCATTGATGTTATTATTAAATTGCTCTGTTATTTATGAAAAAATCCTGCCAGCGAACCTCATTTCTTTCAACTTCAAGTGATGTGGGAAAAAAGAAAAAGTTAACAATGTCCAAGATCTTTGGTCTAATTGCAACAGGAATCAAGCTTCAAAATTACAAAATACTCTCTCGACCTTTGGTTCGCTTTTGCAAGTGCACACCTGCACCCTTAATGGGACTATTATTGGGTGAATAAAACTCCAAGGAGGCATTTGTAATTGTAACACTTCGTGGGTTACTTACAAGTTTGAAAACATAACATGATTAAGCTAGAAATGGGGGCAATGTTTATAGCCATGTCTCAAATAATTGCTAGCCTTACAATTCTCCATTGTGACATTTTGGCTCCAAAATATACTCTTACTGGATGATTCAACTGGGAACTCGTGCAGGAATTTCATCATTTTCACCAAAATCGTTCAATTTATGGCTCTCGACAACATTATAACCTCACCTCACCGAAGATCTCAGTCGCAGACTGCATTTTCACAGCCTAATTCACTGAAAAAACAGCAGTCGAGAGGTGAAGAGTTTGGAAGCTGCTCGACTCTTGTTCAGAGGCATCGGTTTCTTCTTACGGCTCTTGCTCTCCTTGCATTCTTGTGCACTATTTATCTCTACTTTGCCGTGACTCTTGGAGCTGGCGATGATTGCTCGGGCTTAGTTGGGACCCAAAAGGCGACCTGCCGTTTGCGGATGGCGAAAGGGTCGGTGGCTAAGGGAAAATTGAAATTCTTTTAGAAAAATAATATGCCCTTTGTGTTTTTGGGTTGAGGAAGGGATGAGGTGCTGAAATTGTTGGCGATGCGTCTTTTTTAGGTTATAATGTCCTTTCACAAGCTGTGATTTTTTGGTGTATATTTGCAGAGGGGGAAATTTTTCATTTAAATGTCAAGTATGAGTTTCTGGATATCTATATGTAATTTTATATTTATGGAGGAAAATCGGGCACGGTGATGAGAATTTTATTACCAATTTCTATTTGTTCCATCTAAAATTTGGTGAACACCAGCTAAATTCAGCTGTCACAGGGCAAATGTTAATTACATAAAGGAAGAGGGAATACAGGGCAGAAATACATAAAAAAAAATGCTATCAGACACTTTTCAAGACATCAAAAGCCTGCTGCCATTTTCTTAATGAAACAATGTCAAGACCTGCAGTAGCAGTTTTGTCTATTTGTCACAAGATTTAGACTCTTATTAACAAGTAACATGCCCTATTAGTTCAAGTTTGCTTACACATGATACAAGAATACGCGTGACGAACTGCCATACAAAGATATCCCGAGAAGCACTTTCTAATATCCAGGAAAAAAAAAAAAAACAACAACGATCAGATGAAAGAATATCTGGCATTTTATGCTAGTAAAGTCAATCTCAGAAGCTCCTGAACGCCAATTTCTACATATGTACTCAATGTCTGCGTGTATATTCTTCTATCATGTCTCGCTGTACACGAAAAATGATAATCTTCTTCATGAGCACATTAGATTGCAGAGGTCCTCAAGTCTTGCACTTGAGACATTGGCAAAGGGGAACACTCTAAACTTCCCGTTGTCTGAGCAAGTCAAAGTCAACTGCTCTGAGCTTCTCATGGTCTGCACAATCAAAGAACAAATTAATATATTCTTTCGAGTCGCTGTTTTCAGAATTGGGTAAATATCATAAGAGCCCATCATAAGTAACAAATGATTGAGATTCAAGAATAGGGAAACGTTTTATGTTTTCTTATCTAGGCTGAATTATAGTCCTACTTGTGCTTTTCAAACTCCTTGAGATAGGATTAAGAATAAATATTACTAAAATAGCATGCATCTAAGAATTACTATAGTATCTTAATAAGATCACAAATAACAACAGCACCAATTGTAGAAAACTCATCACTGTTTCTCTGTAACTTCCTCCAAACTCTTTTCGTGTAACTAAGGTAAGTTTCAGGGACAGTTTGTAATTATGCTGCCCAGAAAACTATTTTATTTGAATTTTGCACTTTCATTTAAGAAATATAACTTGCACTTTTTACCTCACAGTTCATTGTCTTGTCACTGCAGCTCCACCACTTGATGGGGACACAGTCGATGTACTTGCACCACCCACAATATTTGTTCGCATTAACCCCTTCAAGAAGGCCCAAAACAACTCCCACAACTCTGCATTACAAAAGAATTATGAGAAAGATTTTATACACAATACTAAATGAAAGATGATGGACAAGAAAAAAGAGAAGAACTCACAGAAAGCTGAAGATCACAAGACAAATGATCCTCAAGACTGGCTTGTCCAACTTCCGTTTTATTTCGACCGACTTCTTTACATCATAATCAAATATACCACCTTTATTTGGACAAACTTTCCCCACTTGAGGCTTGAGAAGAAGCATAAAACCAGCAAGGAACCCCGTGATAAATCCTCCGATGTTTGAAAAATTGTTGACAAGTGGCATCAGCCCAATCATGAAATTTAACATCAAGATAATGAGAAAGGCCACAAGACTTGCAAACTGAAACATAACAAAAGGAACATCATTATTTCTAGTCAACATATTATGCGAAAAGAATCTGAGGCAGCGGACAAACAAATCTTTTGCAGACCTTTCTGGAATAGACCTTCCAGTTCTGGATGAGCCCTGATAATGTTGCACCAAGCAAACCGAATAATGGTCCCGAGGCACTAACTGATGGTCGATCTTGGAGAAATAGAGCAGCTAACAGACCACCGATAAGTGCAGAAAGTACGTAGATAATCCCAATTCTTACTGCACAACGTCGAGCAAAGAACAATTAAAAGAATTAATTTCATAAACACAAGATTTCAGTTTCTTAAAATTGATAGTTCTAAAACTTATACTGATGCCTTTTGCATGATTGCAAAAACCATTCGGCATTAAGATACAACCAACACCCCCGTCAAGGTTTGTAGTGGAAAACTATTTTACGCAGAAACAAATATCGAGATACAGGAAGATCATTGGGATTTTTTGGCTAATAAGACTAAACCTCAGCTTAGTTATTGTAATCAAATCCCATTTTTGAATAAATAAAGAGAAATTTGACAGTAGATATACATGGTCCAAACTCTTGCTCCAAGTGGACTCCAACGAAAATGACGCAAGTGAGACTGGTGACGAGGTGGAAAACCCCTGCATGCAAGCACGAGCTAGATAACACACGCCACGATTGATGATCTCTTGCCAAATATCTCAGACGAAGAGCCCCTGCTGCATCTAGCCTGTGAACAGTATATAAAACTCTTTCACCTGTGAGTTGTGAATGAGAGTCTACGAAAAAAGGAACATGTTTTTCCTTTATCGTTTTCGCACAAACGTTCCACAGATAATGGTTAATAATAATTAAAAAAACAAAATGCATGCTTTCTTGACGTCAGATACCACTGATTGAATGATTCATTCAGAAAATTGTACGCTATAATACCAAGACACCGACGGTAAAGCAAAAAGCAAAACCTACACTAACAAATAGAGATATGGCTTTCCCCGGCTATTCTTTAATACTAAATAGTATCACAGAGGAAATCGAATGAACGTTAGAAACACCTCCAATTTTCACACGAAGCTTTCAATAAAACAAAGAAAAATGATACTTCACCATCTTTCGAACAGAAACTACAAGACAATAAGTGGTGAAAACAGAGAACAAGATCACAAACATGCGGACCGGAAAAATTCAAACCAAAATGAGAACTCAAACTTCAAGGAAGTCGAAATAAAAATAAAAAATAAAACACATGGAAAATTGATCCACTCAACCGCAAATTGATCCGAGAAACCAGACATCCACACATCGATTCAAGCAACTGAAAATCAGTTCAGGTAGACAAGGTTGATGATGACAAACAATTTCACAACATATCAACTCAAGATATAAAGAAAATGGGGAAAAAGGAAAAACTGAAGACGAAGCTCACCCGGAAGCAGAAGGTCCGAGCAGCGGATTCTCAGAAAGCGGTTGAAAGGAAAACCTTCCGAGCTGCTTGAAAACACACTGCGCGTTCGAATTTCCCCAGCAATCGTTGACGATCATGGCGCCGCAAAAGGCGATGAGATGCAAAATCACGAACACGGACACAATCCACGTGCTCTCCTTCCTCTGAGACAGCCGCCGGAAGAACGGGAAAGCGACCGTCTGTTCCCTGAACGGCTCCTCCGACGCGAAATCGGCCGGAATCTTCTGAATGGACTTGATGTCGATATTGGTGTGAGGTTTGAGGGTTTCAGCGTCCGCCATTGGAGTTGGACTGCAGACAGAAGAAAAGGCGGATTCTTGAAATTGAATAGGTTTTGTGGATGTAAATGAGATGGAGCTGCAAATCGGTTATGGATTTCTTGAGATTTTTTAGGTTACTGAAGAGAGAGAGAGAGAGAGAAGACGAGCGGTTGGATGCAGCTGTCACCTGAACGGAGGCAAGCAGGGCATAATGCTGGCTTGGCGGGAATCGAGAGTTCTTACGTGGGTAGGGGTGTTCACATCCGGTTTTCACTGAAAAAAAACTGTTAATCCGGACCGCGGATAAATTAAATGATCAGTTAAAAAAAATACCTTAAAAGATCCAGTGATTAATTTTTTTATAATTCTAGAATAATCGGTCCGGTTAGCGGATTACCTGCGGCAAACCGCCGGTTTAATCGGACCGGACCGGTAAATATTAAAAGATTATAACAAATATATATATATATATATAT